CAGGGTGATATATGTGGGCCAGTAGATCCATAATGCGGACCACTTAGATATTTTATGGTACTTATCGACGCATCTATTAGATGATCACATGTATGTTTATTATCCACCCGCAATTTGACATTTGTGAGGTTGCTTGCTCAAATAATTAGATTACGAGTACAATTTCCAGATCACCAATAAAGAAAATTCGCGTTGATAATGCTGGTAAATATTCATCCAAAACATATTATAATTATTGCATGTCTATTGGGATTAGGTTGCAATTAGCAAGACCTATGTTAATAAAATTTAAACTTCTCGTATCTTTCTTGGGGACATCCAATTATGCATGCAGCAACAATGATAAAATTAAAACCTACAAGCTATCATAGCTACTCCTAATTACCATTGGTGTACAATGAAAAACTCAATATATCATATTTGTGAACATTTGGGTGCTCAATTTATGTGTCAGTAGCACCGCCCCAACACACAAAAATGGGCCCCCAACGGAGATTGGAGATATATTCGGGTATGAATCACCATCTAATATTAAATATCTTGAACAATTAACCGGTGATTTATTTACAACTTGATTTTTTGACTGTCATTTTGATGAGTCTCATTTCCCGACATTAGGGAGTGAAACTGATCAATTGAAAAAGTAAACTACTTGAAAAGTATCTTTCAATTTTCTTAATCATCGTAATAGCCAAAGTGAAGTAGAAGCACAACGAATTTTACATTTGCAGCGAGATGAAAATCGATTGACTGATGTTTTTTGTGATGCCAGCAGAGTCACCAAATCATATATAGCTGCAAAAAAAATAATGCATCGGCTAAAATCATTGCCTTTAAGGGAAACTACAAAGTGCTAGTGAATCGAATGCAGATCTAAAGCATGGCGGACCTTTAGGTTCCAAAGATAAAAATCCTCGAAAAAAAAATGAACAAATGAAAGAATTATGGATTTGAATATATATTAAATCCTCATGGAACAAGTAGTAACATGAATCAAATTCCTGAAGAAATTCATTCTAATAAACTTCCTGAAGTAGTTGATCGTAATGAACTTTCCAAAGAAGTTGAACCAAATATAATTTCTCCCGAAGAGAATGATGTTATTGAAAATTCGATAAATTATGTTACTATTGGGAAGTATTGGAACCGAAAGGACATAATTATTGATAATGCTTTTGCATATAATGTAGCATATGATTTAATGGAAAATGACGAAGATCCTAAATCTAGATCAGTTAATAAATGCCGGAAAAAAAATATGACCATAATGGAAAGATGTGATCCAGTCTGAATTGAATTCACTAGCAAAACAAAAAGTTTTCGGACTCGTTGTACAAATACCTGAAGATATTAAGTCCGTTGGCTATAAATGAGTATTTATTTAAAAACGAAACGAGAACAATGAAATTGCCAGATATAAAGCAAGACTTGTAGCCCAAGGTATTTCACAAAGACTTGGAATTGATTTTAATTAAACATATTCTCCAGTAATTGATGGAATAACATTTCGATATCTTGTCAGTTTGATAGTACATGAAAATTTGAATATGCGTCTGATGAACGTTGTAATTGTCTATTTATATGGTCATTATATACTGATATCTATATAAAAATCTCTGAAGAATTTAGTATGCTTGAAGCATACAAAATAAATCCAAAATAATGTTATTTTATTAAATTACAAAAAAATTTGTATGAGCTCAAACAATCTGGGCGTACGTTGTATAATTGTCTCAGTGAATCATTATTGAAAGAAGAATATGCCAATGATTTTATTTGCCCACGTGTTTTTATAAAGAAAAATGAGAGAAATTATGTGATAATAGCTATTTATGTGGATGATTTGAATTTAATTGGAACCCCTGAAAAGGTCCAAAAAGCTATTGAATATTTGAAAAGGGAGTTTAAAATTAAAGATTTCGAGAAAATAAAATTTTGTCTTGGTCCACAAATTGAATATTTGAAAAATAGAATTTTGATCTATCAATCTGCATATACCCAAAAGGTACTGAAACGATCTGCAATTGATAAAACACATTCATTAAGTACTCTAATGGTCATTAGAACTTCCGATCCTATTAAGGATCATTTTAGACAAAAAGAGAAGAGCAAAGAAGCACTTGGTTCTAAAGTACCATATTTAAGTATTATTGGCGCACTATCCCAGACATAACATTTTTGTTGTAAATTTATTAGCAAAATTTAGTGCAACGCCAACACAACGATATTGGAAATACATTAAACATATTTTTCGTTATCTCCAAGAAACAATTGATCTCGATTAATTATATTCAAAGAATTCTCGACATGAATTGATTAGATATGCAGATGTTGAGTATTTTCTGACTCGCATAGAGCCAAATCTCATATTAGCTATATATTTACCTGCGGCGGTGCAATGGTATCTTGGAGATTCACTAAAGAAACATTAACCGCAACATCTTCAAATTATACTGAATTAATAGAAATTCATAAGGGTAGTTGAGAATGTGTTTGGTTGAGATCAATGACTCACCATATTTTAAAGAATTTTGGTTTAAGGTCTGAAAATAACAATTCTCGTACTATTTTATATGAAGATAATAATGCAGTTTATATAGTAATTGAAATGAACATATATCAAAGGAGATAAAAAGAAACATGTTTCACCGAAATTTTTCTTTACTCACGATCTTTCAAAAAATAGTGAAATGGATGTGTTGCAAATTCGATCCAGTAATAATTTAGAAGACTTATTGACCAAAATTTTATCGATTGCAATGTTCGAGAAATTAATAAGAACATTAGGATGCGCCGTTTATGAGATTTCAAGTGATATCTACATCAGGGAAAACAAAATTTCAAATGAAATCTACATGGGAGGGAGTATTTTGTTAAATGCATAAATGACGTACTATTTTTCTTTCACTAGAATTTTTATCCCATTAAATTTCTTTTTAGTGAAATACGTGTGAATGTAGGTGTCATTTTGTAGTATTGCTTAGTCATCTATTTTAATGACTAATCTAATTACAAAAGTCTATAAATAGGCATTTCATGTATTAAGTGGTGGAGATTTTTAAGGAATAAGAATACAGGTCTCTCACTCTCTCTATAATATATACTAGATTTATTTGTTTGTTTCGTCTATTGTAAACATAGATTGGCCATAATAGATATATATTTAATATGTATTATTATTATATTTTATAACAATATTCCATTAAAAAAAAAACCTAAAATAAAAAATTTTCAATACTAAAAAAAAAAAGAAAAAGAAGCTAATATATACTTTGAGGTCTTGTCTCTTCAACTCAGACAAAGTATACTTTGTGGTCTTGTCCAATATAAAAAAAAAAGAAAAATTCATTTGAAAATACAAAATGAACACACCATAGGAATACAAAAAATGGCCATTTAACTCAAAACGTATGTAAGTTGATTTTCAAAAGACACTAACAAACAAATTCAATAGAGTAGGAACTATATTATAAGAGAGAGAGTATACAGTTTAAAAAATTATATAAAATTCAAATAATAATAATAATAATAATATTATTATTATTTTTATAAAAGAAAGAAATAGAGAGAAACATAATCAATCTCTATACAAAATATTTCATTAAATTAAAATAAAGCTAAATAAATATACTTTGAGGTGTGGAGGAGAGTGTGTCTTCAACACAAGGAAAATTTTTTTTACTTCGAGATCAAGAGTGTACTAAAAAGCAACAATTTAATTCCAAACCTATTCAGATTCTATTTTCAAAAGGCACTAATTAACAAATTTAAAATACCGAAAACTATATCTTATGAGAAAATATACAGTTTCCGAGAATATGAAATTTAAATAATAATAACTATTATTATTATAAAAGAAAGAGAGAGAAACACACCCAATCTCTATAGAAAATCTCATCAAATAAGCAAAAGTTAAATATACTCTGAGATCTTAGTCTAATATGTCTTCAATAGAAGGCCAAAGAAATGTACTTGGAGATCAAGAGTACTAAGTCGGGACAATTTAACTCAAAACCTATTCAAGTTTATATTCAAAAGGCACTAACTAACAAATTCAATATACCAAAAACTATATTTTATGAGAAAAATTACACACCCTTTTCTGGAAAACATGAAATTTAAATAATAATAATAATAATAATAATCATATGTTTTCTGGAAAACATGAAATTTAAATAATAATAATAATAATAATAATCATATGAGAGAGGGAGAAACACACCCAATCTCTATACAAAATATCCCATCGGATTTAAGAAAATGCTAAATAAATATACTTTGAGGTCTAGTAGAGAGTGTGTATTCAAGGGAAGGTCGAAGAAGAGTACCCAAAAGCAGCAATTTAACTCAAAACCTATGCTGTTGATTTTCAAAAGATACAAACTATCAAATAACTAAAAAATTCAATATACAAGAACTAAATGCTATTCATGGATTCATAACAATGCCAATGACAAAACAAAATCCCACAAACAAGTAGCACATAAAAAGAATATGTCTCCATAAATTATCTAGTACAAAAGAATTCAGTGGCCCTGTCTGTGTTTTGACTTTTGAAAATATAATACGATGTATCATATTACTACAGAGATTCATTCTGGCCCGACAAGATATAACAATTTTGCAAAATGCATGTCAATGGAAAAAGAAAATGGTTTCAGCTCTTCTGGTCATAAAATATGCAAGGGAAACACATGAACGGTAAATAATATTCAACAGCCATTGATACAGTTATCAAGCTGCCTCAAATCATGAAAGGAAGCAATGCAGCAATAAGTGAACCATACCTTAGCTAGGAATAGGATTTCTCAATAACGGAGCAAACACCAGCCAAGAAAAGCAGAACCTGTAACAATTAAACAATCCAACATACACATAAAACTTAAAACAGAAACATTTGAAGAATGCACAGCATGACCTACCATTTTCTTCTCATGCTTAGCTTCTTTTGCAGCATCAAAACAAGCATCCAAGTCTCGCAAACATAGAATGTCTACTAAAGTCAATAATCAACACATTTAAAATGAAATGACAAAACATATCAAGCAGTAGCAAACACGTTGTGTGTCTAGCTTCAAAACAACTATCAGACAAGATGTCTATAGTTACATCCACCACAACTGTAAATCCATATGCAGTTTATATTTAGATAAAACTTATTGAGACTACTCGGTAAACCACACTTAAATTAAACAATAAGTCAGCTGCTAGCCATCTAATCTCTGTAGTCTGTATGCATGCCTTCCAACAATGTTAGAAATAAAAGCTAGATTTTACGAGAAGATAAAGGGTAGATTGTACATCTAGTCCTCTTCAATTCAAGCATCAACTTTCAAGGATTTTCCTTTTTTCCTCAGTTGCTTTGCCTTTGCACGAGACTTTCGAGATGATGGGGTATAATTGAGGCGGTAACTTACAAGCGAAGGCCCAAAAATGCTATATTTTCCAGTACTGCTAAAAGCAGTTTCAGCATCCTCCCTCCTCTTGAATGTCAATTTTGCACGCTTGCTTTTCGTCAATACCTCAGTATCTTCTTCTTGCAGAGGCCCATATCGACGAAATATCTCATTCAGATTTTCTATTGGTGGAATAGACTCCAAAGAAGTAAAGTTAAGGATCAAACCCGTTGGAAAATATTCCTCAGATGCTTCTTTCATTGGGAGGGAAGAGCCTTCTCCATCCAAACCAGTAGAACCAATGTCCCTTTCCTTGATATTATCCACCAAATTCAAAACTGGGTCAGTATTGGCTTCTAATTCAGCAGCCCTCAGATTGTCAGTTAACGGAATCTCCTGATGTTCAGGGTAGCTCTGAATGATTCTGTCAGGCCAGTACGAATCCTCTGAACCATCTACTCCAAAGTTATCTGCAGCTCCCAGATTGGATGGTATTTCCCCCTTGTGTTCTACAGCATCTTGTGTGGTGCATCCTGGGCTAGATTTTTCTAGACAATTTGTATTCCGAAATTCACTAAGAAAGCCCGGTAATGAAAGCCCAGACTTAGAAGCCTCCTTGGGATTTTTAGCAGCAATGGTTAACTCTGAGAGAATCACAGACGGAATGATTTTTCGACTTGTGGGCTTCCTTTCATGAAGTTTGCTTGAGCTTCTTGAGGACATCAAGGCAGATGGTCGTTTTCCTTTTCTCCTTTGTCTCTCTTCATCACTAGAAATGCCTTTGCGCTTCCGAGAGAAGAAATCTTGAGCAATCTTTCTCTTTTTGGAAAGACTATTATTGCTGCTCTCCAAATCAGGCCCTTGAAGTGATTCTTTTACGTCTTTCTTCATAATAACTTCAGAACCATCCTCCAAAAATCTACCACACTCTTCATAAATAGGAAGATCATAGAAACCCTTCCATCTATTGAAGCTCAGCAGTTGAGCTTTTGCAACTGTCAATTGTAATCTATCAGGTCCACAAACAGGGGATTGTGCCAATGATCCCAGGAACTGCATGAGCTCTCCAGGTAGAAATGACGTTGCGCTCAACATATTGTCCCCACCAGCTCTTCTTCTAGATTCTTCTCGAATACCAGCATTTTCTAACACTTGGAACTTTATCATATCATACACCTCCTGGGGCAAGCATGGACATGACAGACTAAGTTCAGTTCTTCGAGAAACCTCTTTCAGCGCAGATTCCACAGCGTGACAAAACCCATCCACATTGCTCAGTTTCTCCATTTGCGAGAACTGCATCTGAAAAGGCTTGATTTTTGATGCATCATTCCATGCAAATGTCTGGTCCCCAAAATATGCTATCAAGTAGGTATTTCTCTTGAAATGTTTTTTCGCTTTATCTGTAGCTGCTGAAGTATTCAATATCTGGCCTGGCCACCAAGGATGGCTACGAACCTTGCCCCACACTAAATCTGACACGTGATACTCCCCTTCCCTTTCAGTTATACATTCTATATGTTCTAAGGGCGCCGTTACGTCATCCTTAGAATCTACTTTCTCAGTTTCCATTCCGCCATCTGGCACCATTTCGAAGGAGGTCAACTTTCGGTTTCCATTTAAACCGTTTGCCTCATCTCTAGATTCAAAATCCAGCTTACTAGAATCTTTCCCAATAAGAGTTTCATTAATGCCAAATTCGTAGTTAGGCATCGACTCTCCAATCATACCTTGCCACCTATTCACATCCAACTCTAGATTCGCAGCCGCCGGCTCTTTTTCTGGAATATTCATTACATCAGCCTCATTATCCATATTTAAGTTTCCACCTAGAACCCTTCCTACCATATCCATAACACCCCATGACTCCCATCCATTATTCCTCCTCAATTTCATATCTGCCACTCCACTTCTACTACCACCGTACAAATCATTGTGTTCTATGCTGCCAGATTCAAAAGCATTCATCCCACTTCCATTAGTTGATGTCACATCCAAAACCTTTGAATCCTCCGGAACCCTACCACCATTTCCCACATCCACCTTATCAATAGGATTCTCCGCAACGGACTTGGATTCTGAACCTTCAACCATTCCAACTCTCAGTCCACCCTTTGAGTCCCCCAAATCCGCCATGAAAATCCCGAAATTCAAGTCACCAACCCCCATTTGTTTAGACATCAATAAACCCTGTAAACAGCAGATACATATATATATATATATATTTAACGTAGCAAAAAACAATCGAATACAAACACATCAAAACGCTCCTAGTTCATACAGCCATGGAAACAAAAACTCACTCAATTTACAAAGCACAGAAATGGATACAAAATTCAATAGAAAACTAAGATTAAACAACTGAATTTGAAAGAGATGGAATCACCTGAGGCGATTGAGATGACTGAGACTTCAAAGGAAGTTCAAATTCCTTCGCGCAAGTGCGAAACAAGCTCCGAAATCGGGAGAATCGCAATTTTTTCTCCCTCCGTTCTTCTTCGTTTTTTCAAAGTTTACGCCTCTCTGCGCTATCGGGAGGTGCCTCCAAAATGAAGCCATATTTTTCATAAAAAGGGTATGTTTGGGCACGTGTCCCCGTCACGTGCTATTGCTCTTGAGATGCTGCGCTGGGGCACAACTACGTGTTCTCTTGAACCGACGTGCATTGTTGTATTTTTATTTATTCCATTTATGGCGGTTTGACGAAAAAAAGAGCTATTTTTAAAAATAAATAAATTACTTCCCAAATTTATTTATTTATTTTTCTAAATAAGTACTATGCACTAACGGTGTGTTTTTATCCGAATTAAGTATGAAAATTTCAAGTTTTCAATTAAATAATAGAGTATTTAATACTTCATATCTCTGAATTAATTATGTGATTTTGTTTAAATATAAAAATTAAAAAATAATAATATTTTAATATAAAAATAAGGTAAGTACAAAAATAAAATTAGAATATAATATAAAATTTGATAAAAATATAATCTAATAAGTAGAAAAATTAATATTAAATGAATTATTATTTGTTATAGTATATGTAATAAAATTATTTATCATAAATAAATTATTCATAAATTTAACCAGCCAAAGAAAAAAATTAATATAATTATAGCACAGATTTGGAGTATTATATTCTTGAATAATTTAAGCAGACAGTAAAAAAAAAAAAAAAACTAATATAATTATAACACGCATTGAGAGTATAATATTCTTTAATAAAATTACTATATTTTATTCAGAAAAACATAAAATTTAAATAGTAAGAAATTAAATAAAAACTTTTATTAAAAGAAAACACTTTAAGTAATATCAGGTGTGTACTAATTTTTATTGCATATGCAATTCTAATTGAACATGCACTGTTACATTTTTATATTTGCATATTTTTTGGTCCATAATAAAAATGGTTATTTTTTATAAATTTATAATACACCTTAATAGGTCAATAAAAGCTTTTGAAAAAAGAAAAAACACTTATGTCAAATAGCACAAGATCATTAATTTAATAAAATATTGAAGAATTTTGTATTACCACTCTCAATACTTATAATGTTTAATATCAGTGTTTTTAAATAGACAAAGACTTGTTACTTGACAATTTTTATTTTTTTTAATTTTTTTTAAAAAAAAAAAAAGAAGAAGAAAATTAAGTTTGCCATTAAAATACTACATTGAAAGACTTGTTAGTTGACAAATTAAAAAAAATAAATTATGTCTACTTTCAAAAAACTACATTCATATTGCACAACATTTGATTAGAAGTTCTAATAAGTTGTAATTTGATTAATCAATTCAATTAATTTAGCTTTAAACAAAGCTGTCATTCATTCTAAGAAACAACAACAAAAAATTATAAAAACAATATTGTGTTTTCTGAAAATTTAATTCATATTTTTGTTTTTTTAATTACATTGCTTTATAATTTAACTAAATAGTCATTGCTCTAGTTTTTCAATTGTGTGATAGAACACTATTTCTGATGACAGAGAATATTATACTAACAATATAATTGTGCTTTATGGGAATATAAATGATGTTTTCTGATTCAATCTCCCTCTTACGAGCAACTGTGGTCGTAGCCCTCTGGAAAGTGCCACCGGTGGTATTCCGATGGTTGTCACCCTGTCTATGGTTACTTGCCTCCTGCGGAATGAATAACTAGATGTATACGGACGAAAGATCCCCAATGGGCCCAATAGTAGGATGGCAGAACGGTGGACGATTGGACTAATAGCATCCAAGTTTCCCATGGTCTAGAGGAAATAATGCGGAAGTATTTTCTCCGGATATGACTAATTTTTCAGTCGGATTGTACGGCCAACTTGCATCCAAAGTTGATTGGACAATTTGAGGGGAAACACTAGTGGATGATCCGGCTCCTCATTCTGGAAGAATACTTGTTTCTTTGGGAAGATTATATGGTCAACTTGCTCGTCAAGCGGATTGAGAGGCTTTGAGGTGCCAAATTTGTAGAAGAAATCCGGCGTCCGCAAACGGAGAAATATTCATTAGCAATCCCGTCGACACACCATCTCCCAAGGTTGTCACGGCGCTCTTTTGCCGGCGCATGTGGACGTCATACCGCCATGGCAACAAATGGCGAACACATCGCACATGTATAAAACTTATATATGTTATATTACATGAAATTAATGTATATAATTAATTTTATAGTAACATATCAAGAAAATAAAAAATAATTAACAAGCATACATTAAAAGTTGATTTAAAAATTAAAAATAAATAACTATAAAATAAATAATAAATAATAATATAATGCACTAAATACGAATATTATAATAGTATAAAAATAGCATTAAGCAGATAATACAATAAAAAATATTAACTATTGACTTTTAATCTCTTATTAAATACACAAGATGAAATAGTTATACGTGGTTTGACAAAGGGAGAGAGTAGATGAAAATGGGGGAGAGAGAGGATGACAAGTTAGGTTTGATCGGATTCTAAAGGTTGATGTCGATGCAGTTTGAGGGCCTGGGCTCAGACGGAGATTTACGACTACCCAGTGCCATGGCATCGCCATGGCGGCACCATCCACAACATCGCTAAGGCCAACCTAAGCCATTTCCTTTAGTATGGCGAGGCGAAGAGTCCCGACGCTCCCCAAAAAGTCCCAGGACGCCACGACGACGCAATGACAAAGGACGCCACGACGACGCAATGACAAAGTGCCATCTCCATATTGTAGCTAATTTGCCATAGAAAGAAAAACTTGGCTTCGAATTTGATAAAATCGAAGTAAGACATGCGGTGTCCCACTACGCGTGCCAATTTGTTGTATATGAAATTCTACTTCCTAACAACCAGTGTTTTTTAAGCTTCTTTGAAAGCTTAAAAATATGGATTTTCCAATAGATTCAAGAAAGTCTTTGGGCTAGTCTCATGTAAAATGATATATGAATAAAAAAAAAAAAAAAGTAAAATCAAGTAGGACAAACAAGAAAAAGTTGGCGGAATTCAATATAAATTAGAGGAAACTAAGATTGATTTCTTAGAATAAAGAAACAAAGGAAATACATTGCAACAAAAACATAAGAAATGAAAAAGAGAAAAGAAAATACAAACAAATGATAGTTTTTGGAATGTGTTGGCTTGTTTCCATCTTCTTCCTCAAATCTCCGATTCTATATCTTCTATACAAGCCTTCTTCAATGCTTTTAAGAGGTTAACTTACTTCTTCGTTAATATTCAATTATCATATCCTTGAGTAAGCGTTATTCATGTACCCTTCAGTTGCTTTATGCTACCCTCCTATTTGATTGTGTACTGCATTTATCTCCCGAGTAATGGCCGAGTAATCTCACCCATCAACGTGCATCTAATTCTTTAATTGCATGTAAATTTTAAGTAACTTGTATCACTACTCTTTCTCCATCAAGCCTTCCATGTAACTTACCTTTTTAATGCCTCATTATAAAACTTCTTTAACACGTCATTAAGTTTTATCATCATGGATTCATCAATTTTTATCATAAATCCCCCGCATTAAAGCCAATTAAGACTTTGTTTATTGATGGTCCTTCATAAATTCGTCCCTTTTTTTCATAAATTCACCCATATTTTATAAATTCGTCCATGTTTTTATCCTCTTCTAGGTCATTCTTGAGCTTTCTTCTAAAGCTTTTTTGGCTTTTTTTGGACATTTTCTCCATAGCCTTGGGCTTTCTTTTTGCTTCCTTGGGCTTGGCTTTCATAAATTTGCCTAACTTCTAATGATTTAGTATTTCTATCAACCTTCCAATGTTTTAATATTTCTGTCAACCTTCTAATGATCTAGAATTTGATTCATCTGACCTTAATTCCTCCACAATTCCTCCGATATCAAACAAATTCCTTTTGTATAAGATTAATACATTATAAAAATCAAGTAAACTTGTATTAATAAAAGATTTCATAAATGATGCTCTAGGGCTATTAACTAAAGAAGTACATCGATTGAATAATTGAATATTCTATTATATTTTTCTAACAAATATTTTTATATTTATGAAGTTAACATAAAAAAAGAAAAAATGCTTATTTTAAGTTATAATTAAACTTTCACTTACAAAGAAAACTATGATATTAAAGTTAGAATTTTGAAAGAATCCACCTAAATCTTTTATTATTTTTCTTCTTCTTCTCTATATTTTTTTTCTCTTTTTTGTTGTAGATTATATAATTATATTATCTTAAAAGTAATATATAATAATATTAATAAAATATTCAAATACTTATCTTTATTAATATTTATTTATTTAAAAAATTGAATTATATTTAATTTGAAAGATCTTAATAAAAGTTATACAACAATATTAATTTATATTTTATTAAAATCATTCGATCACTTTTTCATATAATAATACTATTTGAGATACTTAAAATTTAGAGTATAACATTCTTAGAATCATTCTTCTGACTTTTTTCATAAAAGTTTAAATGATCTTGTCTTTACTTAATTCCCAACAAATAGAGATAACAATATTGATTGCAATCATTGCTAAAAAATTTATAAACTAATGAAATACCTTTTTTCTCATCTTGTCTGCATGAATCTTAAATTCCAAACATAGGTACATTAAGAAGTTTGTTTTATTGACGTTATTGCAACCAAAACTTCACATTTTTATCACCTTAATAACCTATCTCCTTTATTAAATTCAAGCTTATGCATCTATATTTATACTAACATGCCATAAATTGGAAAATCACTCAAGTATAAAGAAGACTTATCTTTATTTTCTTATTTAATGACTTGTTGCACAAATATTTTTAGATTAAAGAGTCCATTTATGAGATAACATGTATCAATGAATTATATATATAGTTATAATAAAATTTGATGTAAATACAATCGAAAAAAAAAAAAAGAAAAAAGAAAACACATTTTACAAGTAACGAATCCAAAACAAAAATTCTCGGGGATGTTTGCTGGCATGTAACACTTCCTGTAGGCCGATGCGTCCTTGCTAGACAGGTAGGTCTTGTAGTTAAGATTCCTTCTTCCTTTACACTTGATGGTCAATCTCTATCTGGCCTAAGGAAAACTTTTACGCCTACGTTAACTTTTGAGAGGCCGATTGCCCAAACCCAAGGCCACCTATTTATAGAGAGATACTT